TTTCAGTACAAGTGCTATAAAAGACCATCATACTGAGACTTTACTGAGTAAACTACTTGCCCTCTTACCAGTGAAGGAAACAAAAGTATATTCAGGATCACTGTTTTTTTTTTTTTTTTTTGCCTATTTGAGACTGTTCTTGAAAATGTACCAGTAGAATATGTTTTCGTACTCATTGAGCACACCCACTAATTAATTACTTCTGAACATACTTGAAAATAGACAGTTGGTATGATCGTTATTCTTGTGGCCCTTATCTATAAATACTGCAGAGTTTCCTAGACAAAACAAACATGCATTTTCAATGATACCTGACAAAGTCTTACGGGAGAAGCAGTATCAAAGGGCTAAGGACGTTTCTAGCCATGAATGTCTTTTCTATAGGTGTTGCAAGTTCCCAGAAAGTGCCATACGTAGACAGACTGTCCTTGTAACAGTATGTAACAGATAAGAGATTAAGTATTAGAGGAGTGACCCGATACAAACCAAGACTTTAATTGTGCATCTGCCAGCTTTTTTGGGTTATTGTTCCAGAAAGTTCAAGGTTTTTATTTATTTATTTATTCATTTATTATGTATACAATGGTCTGTCTGTGTGTGTGTCTGCACGCCAGAAGAGGGCACCAAACCTCATTACAGATGGGCGTGAGCCACCATGTGGTTGCTGGGAATTGAACTCAGGACCTTTGGAAGAACAGGCAATGCTCTTAATCACTGAGCCAGCTCTCCAGCCAAAGTTCAAGGTTTTTATTAGAGTAATTGAACTGGACATTGTCTCTTGTTTTGCTGTTCCAAGAGCTCAGGATTTGATGCTATATTTCTATAGTGACAAGTAGGAAGGCCCACGTACTCCGACGACAACAGCAGCATGGCATTGCACGAGAGAACTATAAAAACATTTTCTGATTGATCTGGATTCTGAGTTATTTGACTAATATATCATGTTATGTGAAAAATAGAGAATGTCAGGATGGTCCAGCTGTTCAATAATACGGTGTAATTAATCAGTACATGGGGCAGATATGTGCTTTTACAATCTTGTCACATTCTGTCATTTCAAGCAAAAGGTGTAACCATAAATAATGAGCTTGGCTTGTAATCATGTGTGGAGATGTTATTGCTTTGTGTGTAATATTTGTATATGTTCTATACCTAAGAGGCCGTCACAGATGACTAGGATTTTGAGCTGGGAAATTGCTATTAGTCTAAGGACAAACCACACCTGTGTTTGTGGAAGAACCGTCTAGTCTGTCATTGTCATTTGAAGTTAGCTGCAGTTACAGCCCAAGATGATAACATGAGGGAAGATGGTCATGTGTGTACATGTGTTGACAAGAGACACTCTTGTCTTCATGTCCTTTGTTGAGCTCTGACTTATAATTCCTGAATTTCTTTTATATTTTCTTTGCAAATTCGTGTTGAAGGATGTTCTGGAACACAGTATTTTTACTAATGAAGGAGATTCTCTCTTAAGAAATTCTTGTTTTCTTAGAAGGGTGTTAACTAGGCCTTCTCCCTCTCAGGCTCCCACACTAGTTTGAACGTCACACACTAATTACCCTGGGTGACTCTCTCAGTGAGAGGCACTGTTTTTCCCATTTGAGGTCTACTACCGTTTTTCTCATGTTTTTCTGAGCAGCTTTGATGTCCCTAGTTGTACTGGGAGCAGTTTTGCCCCCAAGTCTTGTCTTTTCTCACTCCTGCTCTACTAATGTCTCTTGCTTGCTTACCAGAATTTTCTTCTGTCCCATTTTATCCTCATCTGTGAAATTAGGTGACATGATGTTTACACCCCCCATGATGTCTCAAATGATTAGTGAGGTAAACTGTGAAGTGGTCCTTTTGTCCTGCACAGTTGATGCTGAAGAGTGACAGGTACTGGGGAAGCGTTTGCTTTCCCTGATTCAGCCCCTGCATGGATCTTCCTGGTGTCTCAGTGGTGTGGCTTGAGATGACTATGCTCGCAGCTCTTTGGCATCTAGCTCTCCTGAAAGGGTATAATCATATTTGATATCAGCCAAGTACCCAGTCATAGACCATGATGTCACAAACCAAAGATCATTTTCTCCCAGAAACAAGCTGAACAAGCTGAAGAGGAGGAGAATGTCCATGACAAGTTAAATCTTTGTTAAAACTCAGTCACTTCTTAGAGAAAACGAACCAGACGGTACAGTCCTGCTGGCGTCCGACTGAAATACCCATTGCGGTGTGCAGAGCACTGCATTCACCGCTATACTACAGTGAAAAATTGTTTTAAAAATTAAAAGCTTAAAGTTATAGACATGTACCTAAGCAGATACATACTTAAACACTTAAAATAGGGCTTCTTGATAAGATAAATGCTAATATATTAACTTGAATTTTATATATATTTCCAATTTTGAAATGGTAAAATGACTTCCTTCTAAAGACTGGTGTAATACCAGGGATGCTTGGTGGAAGAGCTTTATTTTGACCTTTGTACCTATTTTTCTTATAGTTTAAACAGGAAGCTTATAGGGTGATGTAAATGGAAGTTTGGACGGTATAAATGGCCAGAGTCTAAGGTGTAGGATAGCAGATGTCACTAGTAAGGATATGCTAGCCAAGACGTTTACCTCATAGCTTATTGAATCACAGAAACAATTAGTAGTCATTGACTATTCCCCAAGATTCAAAAATCTCATAAATTGTTAGATCTACTGATAATAAGGAAAATTCCCATGAATAAACTTGGTCTTAAAGTACTCACTCTAAAACCCCTTACGTGGGCTGCCGTGATGGCTCAGTGAACAGAGGCATTTGCCGTGTAAACTTGGCATCTTGTGTTCAATCCCACGTAAAGGTGGAAGGAGACAACCACCTCCACAGAGCTTCCTCTGATCTCTCCATGTACGGTGTGGCCCGCCTACCCACCCACACACCACTCTCTCTGACTGTCTCTGTCTCTCTTTGTCTCTGTTCTCTGTCTCTGTCTGTCTCACACCACACCTCCATTTTGAAAAACTAAACCTGCTGGGCGTGGTGGCACATGCCCACAGGCAGGCAGATCTTGAGTGAGGCTAGTCTGGTCTACAGAGCGAGCTCCAGACAGCCAGGGCTATACAGAGAAACCCTGTCTCAAAAAAAAAAAAAAAAAGATAAAATAAAATAATAAAAAAATAAACCTTACCCATTTGTACCTGTAACATGCTACAGCTAATGGCGCTGTTATCTTTTTAGTACATTGATAATTGTAGATTGTTCCGAGTTACTACATCTTTTTTTGGAAGCTGTTGCTGAGGATGACATAGCTTTCTGAATGGATTATTATAGATAAGAGAGAAAGTGAAGGCTCACTGGGACTGACGCTCGGAGACTAACTTAAGAGTTGGTATTTGGTGTCTGTCTGCCCGTCCATTGTCCCTGGAGGATAAGCTATGAAGGAAGCAAAGTCCCTGAGAAGTGGTATGTGAACCTTCCTCATAACAGTGAGTAAATAAAATACAGACACATTACCTTCCATCCCCTTCCATCCTGCACAGTGCTGTAAATCTCCCTTTCCTCTGGGTAATTGAAAATTTAAATTATGATTTGAAATATTATTTGTTTTTGTTTTCAATTAAAATGCATTTTCTTGAAGCATGTCAGTCTGTAAAACAAGGTGGAAACGGATGAAAAGAACTTTTAAGGATTCAAGTGAGTCTCATCTGTTAGGGGGAAAGCAAAAAGCCAGCACTTTAGTTAGGCTGTTACATAAATGACAGTCAAGTTGCTCTCTGTATTGGAACCACTGCTTGCCTTTGTTACTGGGAAATGACAAGCGAGAGTCTATAATGACTTCAAATGCAAAAGATATGTGACATTTAAGGTTATTAATGCAATGTCTTGAAAAGAGTCAGAGGAGCCGTGTGTCCCACTATCTTAAGAACTGAAAACCAAGAGTTCAATGAAATGGAAGAGTTCTCTTCCTTGCTATTACCTTGTGCTGGGGATGGAACTCAGGCCCTGGATAGGCCAGGCAGGTGGCCCTGTCTACTCAGGAGCGAGCTCCCCAGTGTCATGTTTGTTTTCAGAGGAACAACTTTGGTGGTTTTTCTTGGATTAGAGAATTTCTTTAGTTAGGTGTGGTATGCATTTGTTGTTTTTCTTATCCCCACCCTGCCAAGCTAATAGAAATAGGACTGTTGGACGGCTTTTTGTGAGATTTTTGAATCTGACTTTTCAGTTGAACTTAGGACAGTTACTTCATAGCCGTGATGTGTGAGAGAAGGAATTAAGATGGCATCAGGTGAAGGAAGCTGTGGATTGATTCCTTTCTGTGCTTTCTACACAGAAAGTCTCCGTAGAAGCCTCATGCTGGATGGGCAGTCTTTCCAAGGCCCTCTACCTTTAACACGGCTTTGCTAGTCCTTTGCATTTTTTAGTTTGGGCCACTAGCCTGGACGGAAAATTTGGAAGATTTAATGTGCCAGACTTTTTTTTGTTCTGTTCTTAAATGTCATTTGCTCTGCTCCAAAATATCCTGCTATCTTTGGGGTAAATTCACCCGACCAGAGATTGTCTCCGTCAGTGTGAATGAGAGTGACATCACAGTTAGGGTGTTCGGTGTGCTAAGAATTAAAATCAGCCAATGAGCCTTTTAAAAACCTGGACAGAAATGTTGCTAACCATGCGTGAATCCCTCCTTTCCCCAGGCAAGCTTGGTGACACCTTCTGTGGGTGCCTCTTAGGCAGCATTCTGGACTCCTCTCATGCTTTCAAGTTACTAAATAAAATTATAATTCTCAAAACATGAAGAAAATAATGGGACCATTCAGTGAAAAATGAATGGGATCTGCAAGCCGTTTGATTGTCGAGCTGTGAGTGACTAGCATTCAGCCTGAGTAGAAACAGGTGTTTACCTCCGAAGGTTCCAATCAGCACAAAGCCTAAGAAAGGGAGAACCACATGAAATTCGGACCTCCTGGCTCACCCACTGCAGTAGCAGGGTTCATTCCAGCAGCCAAGCTATGAATTAATGTTATTAAATCGAATCTTACCTGGTAGCAGTTGGCTGAAGCTCAGTAAGGAGTGGTAAGCTGTCGTACTCCAAATGCCTCGTCGACTGCGCTGTGGTGCTCTCTTTCACCCAGGTGTCTCATTTCTTGCAGCATCTCTGAGGCCCGCTAATCCCGTGCTGTTAGTTAGGACAGCTCACAGCAAGGCAAAGACTCCATTTGGATAGGATTATGGAAATCAAAGGGTGAATTTTGCTTTTATCAAATAACAGCAGTTGATCTGACCGCAGTGCTGAGAACTTATTAAGAATTCTTGGCTCTCTCGGCCGTGAGAAGCCCCGCTTACTCCTGCAGACGGTTCACACCCTGGAAAAGTTGTGCTCACCTGTAATTCAGGATGGCAGACGTCCCCACGTCGTGCTGCCTTAGCGCTGGTGTGTTTTCCAGAAGCACGGCTGTTCTGTAGCACCTTCTGCTTCCCTGGGCTTTCTCCCGGACAACTTTCCGTCCTCAGCCTCCTGTCTGCAGAGGTGAAGAATTTCCTCTCTTCCCGGGTGCTTCTGTTAACACGTCGCTCTAGTGGTTTCTGAGTGGTGAGGGGAAAATCCGAAAGGAAGAACAGCTTTATCGTATCCCAGACACCGAACATGAATGAAGCGCTGATCGGATCGCTCAAATCAGACAGCCAAGTGGTGTGATGCTGCTTTCATACATAATCAACCCATTAATTACTCCTCCCGATGGACAGCGGAGCGCCCTGGCAGGAAGAGAGGAGGAGCAGAGGGGCGTGTGCTGCTCACTAGGTGCTCTCTGAACAGCTTGTCACTGAGGAGGGAATCCAGGGGAGGCTGCAGCTCTGCGGTGTGATCAGGTAGACCAGGCAAGTTATTTTGACAGACAGTTAAATGACGTATTTTGGAAGGAAGAAAAGAGAGCTTAGCTTAGCAAGAGGTAGCTGGAATGCAGTTCCCGGATGTCGTACGGATGGCATCCCTAACGCTGGAAACATTTTCTACCTTTGCCCTGCAGGATTGCAGAGGTTCTGTCCAGCTGTGTGGTTGTCATGTAGTTTTCTCCAGTGAAAGAGAACTTTTCAGAGGTCTTAGGTGGAAGGCATATACTGGGAGTTTTAAAAGCGGTGGCAGGGAAAGGCTGTTCTTTCCTTAATAAAAGACGCATTTGTTTTTATACATCTTTTGGGCACATGCGTGTTTTTGCTTTGGAATAAAGCATTACAAATCACTTGTTGTATAATGTAATGAATAATCTACCAGTTTTCTTAAACTACATGAAATTCTGATCAGTTATATAAAGTATATATGAATAATATGCCAGTTTCGTAATTTTTGTACTGTAGTTGTTAAATCTGGCAAGGGCCTTTCACCCACTTCTCATTGAAGCCCTTTAGGATTATGACTAGCCACTAGGATGTTTTAAAGCATTTTAATTGTTGAAAACTTCAAAGTTGAGCAAAGGTGAAAGGAAATACATCAGCTCCCTATAGACCCACTACCCTGATTCAATAGCTACTGGTATTTTTCTCTTTACTGAAATACTTTAAAGGAAATTTCATTTCTTTCTGCTCCACTATGTGGAGTTTAAAACTTCCCGAACCCTTTCCAGATGGTCTCTGTGGTCATCCACGAGCCACTCTGCTTGAAATTCCTTGTTTCTCAGAAGCTCTCTTTTCATGGCGTTTCTCAAGTGAGAATCCGAAGTGTACACTCATGCTTAGTTGTCAAGCGTTAGAAACTTAAATTTTGACCAAGATAACTACATATGAGAAAGAAGTAATTTTGATTTCATGGTATCTTTCATACTAATTTGTAGCACAAGTGTACAGGAGAAAGTGTCTCTAGGGCTTTCTTGAACCCTTTCCTGCTTAACACTGACACCATAATACTAAAAAGAATTGAATTTTGGGGGCGCGGAGAGATAGTTCAGTGGCTAAGAGTATGCGTTGCTCTTATGGGGGACCTGAGCACCTGTATTGGATAGCTCACAACCACCTGTAATTCCAGCTCTAGGGGACCTGGCACATTCTGGTATTCATGAGGACCAGAGACGAGGCACCACACGTCTTTCTCATGTCTGCTGCCCTTCTGTCAATTTCACCTCCTGCACCTGTGAACACCTAATTAGACAGCATTTAATTGTCCGCTTATCTTTTCCGGGAATGCAGGGGCGTGAGGTTTGAGAAAGCTGTGTGCTACCTCTTCTTTGCTGAAGTTTATTCTCATTCAGATTCTTTCTCTCATCTCATTTCATCTCCTTAAGTGACTGGATGAATGGAAAATGAGAAGGTGAAATATGGGGAACCATTAAAAGAACATGGGCGGAAATTGTTTTTCTGTGTCCACCTGGGCTTAAAGCCAGTGTTGCGGGCTTCTAGTTATGGGATGCCCCTCTTGCAAGGTGCTCATAAATCCTAGGTAACACACTGCCAAGGTCCTCAACTCTGCTGATATGGTGTGAATGCTTACTAACTCTGTGTAGCATTTTTATATGATCTCAATCATGCCTAATCTCTTGTTAAATAAGGTTGTATGTGTTGATTACTTTATGCATGTGCCAGGAGGTAGCACCATGACCATTTTATATATATATATATATATATATATATATATATGTGTGTGTGTGTGTGTGTGTGTGTGTGTGTGTGTGTGTATGTATATGTAGTTAAGTTAAAACAGAAAGATGAGCCAGAATGCTGCTTTCCTCCAAGTGATCTGTAATTATAATATATATTAACATATATAATGTACAGTCAGTATCAGGAAGGCATTTGTCCTATTGGGGAAGTTTATGTGATTAATTGGCTGCTCAGGGAGCAGTAATAGATTGCAGTCTTTAAGTCTAAGTTCCTACTCTGTTTCCAATCATGGTCTCCCAATAGCCTGGATATACACTGAATTAGAAGAAAAACATTGATTCATTTGATGACCTAGCTTGCTCCCAACCCAAAAGAGCCTGCCTCATTTTCACTCAATGTGAATGAATGAATTCATTCGTGTCCATGCAATGGAATCACTTACATTTAGGGTGGGTATTCCTACCCTAGTTAACCTAATTTAGATTATTCCTTACACACACTCTCAGAGGTTTGTTTCCATGTGATTCTAAATCTTGTCAAGTTGATTATTAAAGTATACCTGGTATTGATCTTGTTTATAGAAAACTATCTTTACTTTCTCTGCTGTCCCTAGTTCTCTTCCCATCTAGGAAGATGTTGGGGTGTGGTATGATCAAGACAATGGCTCCAGAGCCCAGTGGGCTCTTTCCATTTCTTCTGGGAGTGGGGAGTGTTTTTGATGCACCAGACTCCCATTCTCATGAAAGAGCAGCACCTCCTCTCCAGCATGAGCAACATTCTGTCAAGTGGGATGTGAAAGCTTCTCTGGGATCCCAGATGACCTGCGCATGGTGTTGAGAGTTGACCCTCTTGGAAAAGATGATGTGAGAAGGGATGGTTTATTCCTGTTTTCTAAGGTTTGAATTTAAAAAGCAGGGGTACTTTTTTTTTTTTTAACTTTTCAGAATTGTATATTCTGTTCCTTCATGGTCTCTCAAATAACAGTGTATTTTAAAATGCTATACATAGATCTTTTTCTCTTTTTCTTTCTCATGTATGTGTGTGTATGGTGCATACACTTTTGTTGTCTGTTTCTGTTTGCCTGTGTGTGGCACACGCGTGTATGGGTGCACATGAATTTGTATGTGTGTGCATATGGAGGCCTAAAGTTGCTACCGATGCCTTCCTGGCTCATTCCTCACCTTACTCACGGAGGCAGGGTCTATCAGTTGAACCCAGAGCTTGACAGTATTGCTGATCACTCTGGGAAATCCTTATTTCAAGTGATAGAATTACAGGTAGTGGCCACACCCACCTCACATCGTGTGGGATCTTGGGATGCAAACTCTGGCTTCATATTTGTTTGGCAAGTGCTGTAACTATGGAGCTAGGCATTCATTTAGCTAAATTTCATTAAAAATTGAAAAAGTGAACATGGTGCTGTAAGGACGTGTGATCCTTATCGTAAAGTTGACCGTCAGGAAACAATTAATCATATCTGAATAAATCGAGAGTATTTTTATCTTCAAATGTAGATTTCAGAAACACTTCTAAACTTCTTGTGGCATTCCCCTGCCTCTCTGTCGTGTTTCACTGCCTCAGACTTTGACCCGTCTTTAACCTTTCCCTTCAGCGATCTGAAGACAACCAGCAGAGGTCTCCAGACCTCACTTCAGGAAACTGATTTTACAGCCTCGTATGCAGAATGGATACGCGCCAGGAGACATTGGTTACCCAGATTTATGAAGTGTTATGTTCCGGGTCCCAGAACTGTACTGTGGACTGAGCATAGCTTTAAAAACAGTGAGGTCTCTGCTCTAGTAGGGACACGTTCTTAGGGCCACATGTGACCCCAGCCACAGCATACACTTTGCATCTCGATTGCCAGGTCCTTGAGATTTACAGATTTGTCACAGCCCCCAGAATACCCTCTAGATATTCATTTACAGCGAGGTCACTCCTGGCCTCTGGTGCTGGAACCCTGCACACTTATCAGCCAGGAACTGGCCTCTGTACCAGGCTGTTTGAGTGGACTCCGAATTTTGTTTTCTCAGGAGCTTTATGTATCTAATCTGTAGGGAATAGGGAATCTCTTCACACACACACACACACACACACACACACACACACACACACACACACCCTGTGAGTAGATCTCACAGAGGTTTGCTGCTTTATTCTAGAGAATTTTGTTGTTGTTCTTGTTGTTATTGTTTGAGTCTTTGTCCCACTTGAACCTCTGGTCTTAAAGAGTCTTTGAAATAAAACTGTGTCACAAGGTCGTGTGCTTTTCACACTACTCTTAGTGACCCAGGGGAAGCACGAGGGTGTGGCTGTCGTGTACGGGGCAAGTGCTCAATGGGCACCTGCAGTTGTCATTATTACAGTGGAACGTGATACACTGTTACCTCTGGAAGGCACTGCAGAGAAAGGGGAGTTCTTTCCCCCATTTCACAGAGTGCGTGCTGGGCCTCCGTCCTTTCTCATGTGGGTGCATAACCTGTTCTCTGCAGCGCTACAGTTAGTATCGATGAAATCATCACACTGTTTCATGAGGATTTTTGTGTGGATGAATATTTTGAGCTAAATTGTAATTGGTGGTTTCAAACAATTTTAAGAATGACTAGAAGGTAATCAGCAAAGGTGTGTGTGTGTGTGTGTGTGTGTGTGTGTGTTTTAAATATAAGTGGAATGCTATAGAAAGCCTGGCAATTGGTCAGTATAAAAACAGAGGTTCCATAGAAAAATTTAATAGTTATTGATTAGTCACTTTCTAGGTGATGGATCCATTTCTAAGCATATAGAATCACTGTACATATACCAAATGGGCAAATATTTAGCTGTTAAAAAAAAGAATGAAATTCTGTTGTTTGTGGCCACATGGCTGGAACTAAGATTGTTATGTAAAATGATGTAATCCACACACAGACAACTATTACGTGACCTCACCTATGAGGACCCCAGAAGAAGTGGAGAGTAGAATGGTAGCAGGCTGGGGAGAGCAGGGTGCTGAAAGATGGGAAAGGGTCGATCAGTAGGAGTGACAGTTCTGTAGGGGCAGTTAAGTCTGCTGTGCTATTGCATGATAGCATAACTATTTATTTATGTAAACACATTTATTTATGTACCACACATTTATTTCAGCAGACTCTAAGAGGGGACTTGGAAATGTTCATCATTTAAAAATGCTTGAAGAATTTGACTTGTTTAATGTAATTCAAACATTATTTAACATATGCATGTGTAAAATATTATGTGGCTTGAGGACACAGGAACATGATTCTTATGGGCGCAGACCTTAGAACAACATTGGTGATCCTGAAGGAGTTGGGACACTTTTCATTTAATACATTTTGGGAATTATTTGAACAGTAAGTGAGAGAGACTAGTCCCAAGATTAGGTG